TAGTTGCCACTATCATAAAGTTATTTATTTTCCTTCTCCTGGTTATAAAAAATGTTAAGTTCTCCATTTACCTTAAACCAAAAGCTATTATTATTAAAGTCACATGAGTTTAGTTCAAAACTACCTAGAACAGGGGGCAGCTAGGTGGCGCAGTGGATAGAGCACCAGCCCTGGATTCAGGAGGACCTGAGTTCAAATCTGGCCTCAGACATATAATACTTACTAGCTGTGTGACCCTGGGCAAGTCACTTAACCCTATTGCCTAGCAAAAAAAAAAAAAATTAACTACCTAGAACAGCACATCACACACAACAGTGTGTGTTTGTTCAATAAAGTATTATCATTCAGTATACATTCTTACTCTGCTAAATATCTCAAGTATGAGAAGACCAATCCTACTCTAGTTGACACAAAACAATCTTCCTGTTCTAGCAGGAATTGTTTCTTTTATGTTTACAGGAAGGAGGCACTGGACTTTTCTGTCTGGATAGAATATCTCCTAATTATATTTTCTACATAAAGCAAAGGTATTGGATTTTTAAAATTTTGAGACCTAAGTCCACTCTCCGCTCCCAGCAAAAGCATCTATTTTGTCTTACTCCAGAGTAAACAGAACAAAGGGCAATAGCAGGAAGTGGATCATCACTCAGCTCCAAAAAAGAAAAAAAAAGGGGAAAAAAAACTTTGTTAGGAATTTAAAACCAGTGGTTCACTAGCCTCAAGTGAAAACTAAGTCACTAGATTTGAAAAAAGATAACAATAAATACAATCTTCACTGCTGTTGGTGAATATTGAACAGCCATTCCCCTATACCTCGTTTTTATCTGTAACAGCATATAGACAACTGTGCAAGTGTATAATACCCTGCTGTATTTGTATAAAAGTGTAACATACCTCTGTACAAATATATAGCAAAAATAGTTTACAGTGTTAATTTAACAATGTAATGCAAGTACTTCCTATGGTATATGTTACTTGTATCTTTACAACTTTTTGATGTAAAATAGGTCTTACTACCATTGACAAGTGAGGCAATTTAGATATATAGAGATAAACTGATCTGAGTTAGTCAAATAGCTCACTAGCAGTAGATCTGGCATTAAAATTTAATTTGTTTCAGGGCAGCGAGGTGGCACGGTGGATGTAGCACCCGCCCTGAAGTCAGGAGGACCTGAATTCAAATCTGGCCTTAGACACATAACACTCACTAGCTGTGTGACTCTGGGTAAATCACTTAACAGCCCAATTGCCTCACCAAAAAAAAAAAAAATTAACTTATTTCAAGCATAAAAACTAAGTTGATTTTAAAAAAGAACATGAATTTTGAGCTACATTTTCAAAAACATCACGTGTTTTGATCCACTCAAACATTTTCTAACAGCCTATATATAGAACTGAGACATTTTGTTTAAAAAATAATTTTTAAAATATAAGAATATCTTTTTTTAACTCAACCAATGAACTTCCTTATGACCTTAATCCAATCAATAAGCTGGGAGCTCCACTTTCTTTTATGGACCTTAATGACTTAATTGTCATAATACAAACACTCTTCTGGACTTACAGGCAACAGTCAAAGCAGAAAGAAAAAGCAATTGCTGAATAGATATGCCCCACTTTATACAATAAACTTTGGCCTCTTGGAGTTATTTGGATGTTATACTATACAATTACATGCAAATTAAATGATATTTTATATGGATTAGAAGGTCACAATTTGAAAAAACTCCTTACTGATCTTGTAAAGGAAACAATGTAATCAAAAGACCAAATATCCTAAACAAAGCACCAAATATATGCACATATTATTTCCCATAAAGTGGACTACCTAAATTAAAATAGCCAAAACATTAATTCACACATTCTCTTAAAAAGTTACAATACTACTAGAAAAACTCTTTTAAAAATATTACATAATACATCTGTCATCTATTAAGAAATCTTTTTTTAAATTTGCCTTTAAATACTGTCAGTCTACATTCTGCTGCAAAAGCTCAGACAAGATATAGTTAAAATTGAAATTTAAAAAAAAACATAATTAAACTTTTTCTATAAATGTTTAACGTTTTAGCTATGTAAGAATGTTTTGGTAACTATATCTCTGAATATGGCCTAAGATGAAAAAAAAGTTGCAACAGTAAAAAAAAAAATTTCAGCCTGCATTACTTCAATTAATATTCTTCAAATTGTGGCATATGACAATATAGAGCAGATATTTCTAGTGCTATCTGTCATCCTCTTTCACTTTTCCCTTGGCTTTTATTTCCTCTTTTTTACTATGCTTCATATATAGATATAGATATACACACACACATATACATACACATGTACATATACACACATACACATATACACATGCAGCTATAGATAAATGAGTAGAAAAGTGCGAAGTAATCTATAAACAGGTAACTAAAGTAGTAACTTTAATGACAGCAATAAAGTATAACTTGAACAAATGCTGGAAACAATACAGAATCTACAAAATCACAGTAGTCTATTAAGAAAAATAGACTCTAGGGGCAGCTAGGTGGCACAGTGGATAGAGCACCAGCCCCGGAGTCAGGAGGACCTGAGCTCAAATCTGGCCTCACACATATAACACTTATCAGCTGTGTGACCCTGGGCAAGTCACTTAACCCCAACTGCCTCACCAAAAAATATATATACATATATATATATATATTTTTTTAATGGTCCATTGAAAAGCAAAGAGGAAAAAAAATCTTAAAGGTGAAAAGAAATTCCATGACAAACCTGGAGGGAGGTCTTGTTACTGTTGTTCAGTCATGTCCAACTCTTTGTGACCCAATTTGGGGTTTTCTTGGCAAAGATACTAGAGTGGTCTGCCATTTCTTCTCTAGCTCATTTTACAGATGAGGAAACTGAGGCAAACAGGGTTAAGTGACTTGCCCACACAACTCGTAAGCATCTGAGGCCAGGAAGATGAGCCTTCCTGACTCCAGGCCCAGCTGTCTATCCACTGCATCACCTAGCTACCCCTGGAGGGAGGCCTAGGAAAACTTTTTAAGACCTTGGGATAAGACTATAGTGACTATTTGAAGAAAATTATTTGCATGAACATTCTTATTGTGGTCTAGAAGATTCTTCAAGAGAAAAAAGGGTCAGGTAAACAGTAATACTAGAATAAGAGAAGCAATGTACAGGAGGATGTTATAAATGAATCATCAAAAAGCTCTTCCAAAAATGGGAAAGTTGAAGAACTGGCTTAAATAAAGCTGGCTCTGGATGAAAAAAATGCCACAAGTTTACTGATTGACTTATGTTATTTCTAGAAAAATGATGTTATCTAGTTCATATGCATATAAATGGAATTTGAAATAACAATTTTAAATCATTAATCCGTAAAAAAAAATGAATACCACTGATTTGTAAACTACATCATATAGAAAAGGTAATGTTTCTTGAATATACTTTGCTTATGAGACTAGAATGTTGCTTTAAAAGCATAAAAGTTAACCCTAAATTGCCTATAAACTTATGTTTCTTGTACAAAGAAGCATATTGAGAATAACTTTTTTCAACAGGTTTTATATTTGGATACCACCGTATTTTTGTTTAATTTATCTTCACTACCCAAAATAAACATTTTTAAAACTGATAAAGGATTCATATAAAGGATTAAACTTAGAATACAGCTTACAAACAATACTTCCTTTTCAATAAGCATGGTGTCACTACTAAATCAAATATGAACTTGACCTGAAAATGGCACAACTAATTAACAAGAAGATGCAACAAAGTTTCCTGTAGTCATTGTGTAAATAATAAGTTTACTCTATTTTAGAAAGTGCCTGTTTTCTAATAAGAGTTAAAAGATATTAATTTCTGGTCAGTATGTATTTAGTGGATAAAAAAGGTTACTCAGTTCCTGGCTTCTAAAGTAGATTATATATTGAATTACCCGTTTTTAAGATCCCATTTTCCTGTTATTGCACAAAATTATTTGTAAAATGACATAGTAAATAAGCAAAAATGTGTTTTTTTCTAACCCACATAATTGAACCAGTAGGTGAAAGAAGATTCCAAGAATCACTAAAATTTACTACTAAATATGTTAACAATGAGCAGAATTAATAAATAAGAATAATTTGTTCTTTAATAATAGAAAAAAGTTTAGTTATCTAAAGATGTCCATATTGGTGTTCTCTGCCACAAAAGTGGTAAAGCCACAAAAGCCCTGAACTTGGAGCCGAGTTTGAACCTAAGCTCACTCATTTACAATCTGTGTGACTTTGGGCAGGTCACTTAACCTCTATAGAACCCAGTTACTTCATGTGTAACATGAGGAATTTGGATAGATAACCTGTAAGGTCCCTTCCAGCTCTGGTTCTAGCTAGATCCAATGAACTTATCAAAAGACTGACCTTCCCTCAAGAACAGTAAACTCAGTTTCCAGGGATGTCTGCTTTGTGTCCCTTGCCAATATCATAACATTCATGTTTCAATTGTTTTTAAATAACATCTCATATCTGTACAATGTTTTTTAAATGAAACTGCCATTACAGAAACATAAAAGGAGAGAAAGAAAAAAAAGCTGAAGTCATTTTAAATGGACAGAATAAAGTATCCCATTTCTTACAGCTATCTCTATCTCCATCTATACATACATACATACATACATACATACATACATACATACATTCATCCATCTACTCCCACTGATGGAAAAAAGAAAAACACAAATAAAAATTTATTTTTTTAAGTCTATAGGCTTAAGCCTATATGTTTACTGTCACTAATGGCATGGCAATTTTTTTAAAAAATCATAGCTTTTTTGTAATAATGGAGGAAGATGGTAAAAACTGTACAAAGCAGAAAAACCAAAAACAAATCTAGAACGCACTCTGAATTTTTTTTAAAGAGCTCGCTATCACTATGAATAAATACTAATATCCATGAACCATCTCAGTGAGCAAGTCAATCACAAAGTTCTACCACAAAATATTTTTACATTCATAAATAAAATTAAAAGTAGTTACCTTGTTACAATAAAGCATCCAAAGTTCAAAGAGCCTCTCTCTGGATGCCATTCCTGCTTTATCTTGGCCACTTTACTTTTTTCCTCAAAAGATATATTCAAGATCATAACATGTTCCTTTTATTTTCTAAGTTTTTCCAGCTTTAATACTGAGAACAATCAGAACAGTAGGGGGGGAAAAACCCAAACAAACGGGAAGTGTCTTCTGGTAAATCAAGAAGTTCGATATTCACACCTACTCCAACATCTCTTCATCAATGTCACTCCCACCACTGAATAAATCTATAAAAGAAAAAAATACACAAAAGTTACCTTTAGAGGAAGAAGCTGTACTTTTTTTTTAATCTTGATCTACTGAAAATCTGGGATAGGATTGATGGTTTATCTGCGAACAACAAACTTTTAATGATTTTAAAACCCCACAGAACCTGGATGTTGAAAAAAAACACCAGAAAATGCCACAGCTGACATAAAATTTTAAGGCGCCACAAAACCCGAGATAGAAATCTACCAGAACACTCACTGTTAGTGCCTTTCCTCTAAGATTATCTCCAATTTATTCTGCACAGATCTAGTTTGTACATAGTTTGCAAGAAGTCTCTCCCGTTAGTCTGTGAAGACCTTGAGGGCAGGGTTGGGGGAGGTTCCCCCCCAATTTCCTTTTATCCAGTGCCTGGCACATAATTGGTGCTGAATAAATTGGCACCAAAGGCATAGCTATGAAGAGTCACAGCAAAATTCCATTTTCTCACCTTTGACAGCTCAACTATTAGAAAACATTAGTGTTTATATGAAAATCACCCAAGGGCATAAAACCTAACCCACTTTTTTTTATTTACAGATTTGGGAGGGGGTGGTATTTGTGGTTGGGTGGGGACAATTTACAGGGTGGAACAATCCACCCGAGGGAGTGAAAGTGACTTTCTCTACCTGGTGCCTCACGGGCCTCTTCGCCCAGACAAGGGGGCGGCTTTGGGAGCGCACACCTGGCCAAGCGCAGGTACGGCTCCAGTGAAAACCTGCGACGTCTTTTGGGGGGGCCTGGGAGTGCCCTTAAATTTTGACCATTGCAAAAGTGGGAGAAACTTGTGGAAGATCACTAGGGGCTCGCAGCTGCCCCCAGCGCGCGCGGACACGGAACCCCCAAACCTGGGGGCGCCCCTCCCCCCCTCCCCCACAGCCCCGGGGTGCTCCCCCTCTCCTCTCCCAATCCTCCACAACACCCAGAGACCCGCCCTGCTCCTCCCCCGCCCCGGCTCTCCACCCCCGCACTCACATTGGGGTCCGAGGGGCCTGCGCCGCCCCCCAGTCTCCGAGGCGTACTCCCAACTGTTCCCACAGCCGCCGGCCGGCCGGCGGCCCGAAACCCCGAGTGTCAGCCCGCAGCAGCAGCTCGGCAGGAGGGTGGGGGAGCAGCAGAGGCGGAGGGAGAGAGGAGGTGGGGATTCGGGGCGGGGCCACAGGGAGGGGCGGGGCCGGCGCGCGACAGCCCCAGCTGGGCTGGCACAGCGGCGCACTTCGCAGGGTAAGGTCTCCTGCCACGCAGAAGGACACTTCCCGAAGCCGAGACCGCTCATAGGCTGCGTCCGCCGAGAGGGGCCGGGACCTAGAGGGGGCGGACCTGGGCATTCCACCACAGCCGCATTCCTCGCGTCGTCGCACCTCGGGAACCTCTTCGGTTCTCCCCAGCGGAACTAGGGGAAGGGGGAAGGGAAGAGACCCGACGCACTGATGTCATCGGCCAACCTCGGGGAAGACGGAAAAGGAGCGAGAGGGAGCGCCGGTGACATCATTTCCGGGGCCTGACTTAGCCGAGGGCAGAACTACGCTTTCCATTCCCCATCAATTGGTTCCCTTCTAGGAGTGTCTTCCTTCCCCTTGGGACGTGAAGTCTGACTCGTGGGAAGAGCAGGAGAATGCAACTTTGAGCCCCGCCCCTTCGGGGGCGTGTCTCTGAGCCCTTCCCACTTCCCCGCCCCACCCAGCCCTGAGCCTCGCCTTAGCTCGCCCTGCCGCGTAGAGCTTTCCTCACGTGACTGGGAGCATCCCGGGTTCTGGGTCTCTGCTGTTGCAGAGGCTGGCAGATGCTGCGAGGCTTGGATAGTGGCACCGCCTGGGGGCTTGAAAATGTCCTATATTCCCACCTTCCGCCTGTTTCCACAAGTCACTTTTGGCCAAGGAAGAAAGTGAATCAGTGCTCGCTAAGTGCAAGCAGCATGATCTTTTTTTTTTACTTTTTTTAAAAAATTAACTATTTTAACCTTATTGAAAGACTGAGCCCCAAATTCTCACTCCTTTCGGCCACTCCCCTCTCCATTGAGAAGGCAAGCAATATGATACCAAATTATACGTGTGAAGTCGTGCAAAACATTTCCATATTAGCCATGTTGCAAAAATAAAAAGCAAGGAAAATAAGGTGGAAAAAAGTATGCTTCAGTGCACTCAGTTCATCAGTTCTCTCTCAAGAAATGGATGCATTTTTCATCATGAGTACTTTGGAATTGTCTTGGGTGATTGCATTGATCTTTTACAGATTTTTAGAGTCTTTTACAGTTAATCTACGTAGCAATATTTCTGTACAATGGCCTCTGGGCTCTGCTCACTTCACTTTGCATCAGTTCACGTAAGTCTTCCCAGCTTTTTCTGAAAGTGTCCTCATTTCTTAGGTCACAATACTATTCCATTACAATCACATACCACAACATGTTCAGCCATGCCCCAAATGGTGGTCCTTCTCTCAATTTCTAATTCTTTGCCACCGCAAAAAGAGTAAGCAGCACACAATCTTTATCAGGGTATTTAGTTGCACAAGTAGGGATGTGGGATTTAATGGTGGGGTTTCTCTCACTGGACTGGCTTCAGTTTTCTGAGTGCAGTTGCTTTATATGTGGAATGAACATGGAGGAGTCAAAGCCAGCCCCCTGGTGTCTTTGGGTAACTCATTTCACTCCCTTGAGCCCCAGTGTGCTAGTCTTTATCTATGGGGCAAACCACATATACACAGAAGTATATGCAAAATAAATACAATAAATAAAAGTAAATGGTTGAGAAGGGATCAAGAAGGACCATCCAGAGATGCTAAACAGGCTACAATACCCCAGAGTATGGCCCAAACTAAATTAGAAATGTAACTCGGAAATATTTTAAAAAGTAAATAAAAATACAATAAAACATGAATGTTACATTTCAAAAATAAGTCGATATACCACATGGATTAGTGAGTCTGTGTCTAATTTTTACTTTGACACCACCAATGTAAAAGACAGGTCTTCTTAACTGTTTTTGTGTCATAGACCATTTTGGAAGTCTACTGAATGCTGTGGAAGCCTATCTTAGAATCATGCTTCTAAATTTATAGAATAAACTATGTTGGATTACAAAGGCAACTAATTATATTGAAATACAGTTATAAAAACAAGTTCACAGATGCCAGGTGATAGAAGATATAACCTCTGATAGAAGATATCTCTTTAGCAGGGAATTGAAGATAACTTGGGGCCAGATTGTGAAGGGGCTTATAAAAGGAGCTTATATTCTATCCCAGAGACAATTGAGAACCACTGGAATCAGATTTGCCTTTAACAAAAATATTTGGCAGCTGTGTGGACAATGTATTGGAAAGTAGAAAGACCTGAAGTAGAGACCAACCCAGAAGCCACTGCAACCATTTAGTGGAGAGGTGGTGAGAGCCTGAAGAAGGGTGGGAGTATAACGGACATATTGTGGAGGTAGAACTGACAAGATGTGGCAAATATATATACAATATGGGGTGAGGGAAAGCAGAGAGCCAAGGATAATAACCAAGGTTGGACACCTAAGTTACTGGAAGTAACTGCCCTCCATAGAAATAGGGGAATTCAGGTGGAGAGTGTGTTGAAGGGAAAAGACATCAATTTTGGACTTGCTGAATTTGAGATATCTGGGACATCCAGTTTGAAATGACCAATAGGCATTTAAGAAGATGTCCAACTGGAGCTCAAGAGAATAATCAGGGCTGGATACATAGATTTGAGAGTCATGTACACAAAGGAATATCAAACCTCATGGGATCTGATGAGGTCACCAAGTCAGAGAGTATGGAAAGGGAATAAAAGTGAGCCCAGGACTGACTCCCAGGGTATACCTACAATTAAATGGGTATTGTGTAGAATTTAAGCTCCTTGAGAACAAAACCTTTAATTTTTTTTTTAGTTTGAACAGTGTCTGTCACATAGTAGGTGCACAACAAATATTGTTGACTGACTTTTAAAAATAATATTTAATTTTTTCCTAGTTACATGTAAAGACAATTTTAATATTCATTTTTAAAAATTTTGAGTTCCAAATTTTCTCTCCCTCACCTCCCCCACTCCTGGAGATAGTAAATAATTTTATATAGATTATACATGTTCAATTATGCAAAACATATTACCACATTAGTCATGCTGTGAAAGAAGACACAGGCCCAAAGGAAAAAGGTCCTCCTGATTCTGTTCAGTTCATGTAATCCAAGTTTTTCTGAAATCTGCCTACTCATCATTTTTATAGCACAATAGGATTCCATTACATTCATATACCACAGCTTGTTCAGCCATTCCCCAATTGATGAGCATCTTCTCAATTTCCAATTCTTTGCCACCACAAAAAGAGCTGTTATAAATATTTTTGTCCAAATAGGTCCTTTTCCCTTTTTTTTTTTAATCTCTGGAAAAGAATCACGTCTACCTGAAGAAGAGATATGGTATCTTAGGGTCAGAAATATAATGGAAATACTCCAGCATTGGTAAGTGTCTAAAATGGAATAAAGAGATAGTATGCTAGAAAGTCTTGAGGGCACAACTTTTGGAATTGTTCAGAGTCTAAGACTCCAAGACCTGAAGTCCTATGGTAAGGATGTTTGCAGAGGCTAGAAAGGCCTTTGGAGTTCAAGGTAGACGGACAATTACTAAGAACAATAGAGAGAAGAGGATAAAGCCTGAGGAAGCAAATGCAGTTAGACTGAGGTTGTGTTGGGGTACAGTACACCTTCATCAGCTATAAGCATACCTAATTTGTCGTAAAGGATTAAAAGTTACCGAAGTATGACTGGTTGCTAGACAAAGTAAACCAATTTATGAAAGATTTCCCTCCCAAAAGAATAATTTGGGAAAACTCAGATGAATCTAGCTCCAGGATGTTTTCCAGTGCATAGACCACACAAAACAGGCAAGAGACCATCACTGATCACCCAAATTCAAGGACCTCCAGAGAGCCTGCTGAGATATAGAAGAGTAGATAATACCAGTACACTGGGAGAAATTAGGTATCAAGGGCACAGCAATGAAGACCAAATATCTAATGTAAAGGCATCACCAACAAAGAATGGGCAAAGGAACAAAGCTACCCTCAGTCCCAGCTGCGACCTGGATGGCCACTGGAGTAATACTTGAATCCAAGAGAAAAATGCACGTTGATATGGGAGAAATTAAATTCCAGAGAACCAGAGAAGGGGAAAAATGGAGATAGGGCCAGGGATGGAGACAGGAAGGAAACCTAAGCTTGACCTTAATACCAGGTTGCTCCTTGAGGCATCAATGTTTGGCTGGCTACAAAACCTGTCATGGATCTGACTCCAGGTTCTGTTCCTCAAGTGGCTTACTCTTCATGCTTTTCAGAAAGCCTATGGATGTAGCCTCCAACTTCTTTCATCTAATATGAAAGAACAAATTTGAAAGCAAAGAACCATGTGTTGGCTTTACAGTATTGTCTTTTAGAGGATGGATGCTGCCAGCCATACAAAGAAAAAGATCAAGCTAAGAAAAAAATAACTGATGCCAACTAAGAACTTTTGAATGTCTCCATACCCCAATTCCAGCTCTGCAGCCACAGCCAATCAAGAGGCTCCAATTCAACCCAAGGTTAGCAAACCAGAGCCAGTTACAAAATGTCTACACATGCTCCAAAGTCTCTCCAAAACTCATCCATAATACAACACTGTAACTCTCCTGGAATCAGCCCCCCAAACATTTCCATATGAGGAATCTGCACATACTAATAGGAACTAGGTTCATTGGCCAGTCTCCAATTACACAAAAAAAAACCATTACAATATACATTATGAAAAGGGCTATGTTTTAATGCTAAATGTACGTGTAACCTAGGGCTCAAGGCAAGACTTCTGTCTAAGACTTACCTCACTGGTAGAGAGAATGATCAAATACCAGATGTTCTTAGCAATAAATACTGTGAAAGTTCTGAGAAAGCATTGATTATTGTAGCTTAAACTGAGCCCAGAAGGCTTAATGGAGATGTCAAAATTTGAGCTAGATGTTAAAAAAAAATAGGTAAAATTCAGATAGGTGTGCAAGAAATGGAAGGACATTACAGGCTAAAGGAATGAATGGAGCAAAGGTTCAGAGAAAAATATAAATAAATTCTATAGGCAACAGTAAGTAGACAAGGCTGCCTAAAAATTCATGTAAAGTATTAATAACAGAAGCTAAAGTTAAAAGGTACATTGAAGGTAAATTATAAATGGCTTTAAATGCCAGGTTAAGCAACTTGGATTGTAACTTATGGATAATGGAGTACCAATGAAGGTTTTTAACTGGGGAATGATATGATGAAAGTAGTTTATGATCTAAGACTATGTGAGATCCTGACTGATTTTTAAGACCTAAATTACAGATGGTATGTAACCACATAGAAAAAAAAAAGAATTAAACTAAAACATGAAAGAAAACCACTTCTATTTCATCACTGAAGAAACTCCCAAATGGTTGGGAAGTTAATTTAAAACCAAAATAGTCTATTTTCACTGTAGGAAACACTTCATCAAAGAGAAACAGAAAATTACAGAAGAGATTGTAAGAACTAGTATTTTATATATTTATTTATTTTTTCCCTTTTTGTACTTATATGGAACATAAAAGGAAATTTTTCCTCAAATGTAGACGTCAAATTTAGTGAATGAACGTGAAGCATTTTTGTTATTGTTGTCGAATGGCTACAGCTTTTTGGAGAAGTATTTGATCAAATGTAAATGCTGTCAACTTTGATATTCATATTAACTTTGATGTTCATATTAACAGTACTGTGTACTATGTACAAAGTAGTACAAAGAAAGAAATCTGACATTCTGATGACAGAAATGAAGAAACCCAAGGAATTATCACCTCAGAAACTGGTTAACCTTAGGCAGGGACTTATGAAATCTCTTCATTTCTGCTACCAGAATCTTTGTATTCGAGTATAGTAATGTGCCAATATGAATACTACAGAATAGAATACTATACTATATATACTATAGAATACAATAGAGTAGTGCCAATATGAATACTAAAGCTGATAGCATTTTGTGAAGAATTTACTCCCTCCTGGACGTTATCCCCCCAACCCTCATCATATGTTTGTACTGC